ATGTGAATCTATAATCATTTCAATAAAAAGTTCAGTTAAGTAATGACAGCAAAATAAAAATATTCTTAAACAAGGCAGGCACAGTGGCTCATGCCTGTAATCCCAACATTTTGGGAGGCTAAGGTGGGAGGACTGCCTGGGCAACATAGTGAGAGCCCCAAAATAAAAAAAAAATAGTCAGGCATGGTAGTGTACATCTGTAGTCCCAGCTACGTGGGAGGCTGAAGTGGGAGGATTACTTGAGCCAGGGAGGTTAAGCTGTAGTTGCACCACTGCATGCCAGCCTGCGTGACAGAGTGAGACCTTGTCTCCAAAAAAAAAAAAAAACCAAAAAACAAAATACAGGTGCCGTGGCTCACTCCTGTAATCCCAGCACTTTGGGAGGCAAAGGAGGGAGGATCACCTGAGGTCAGGAGTTTGAGACTAGCCTGACCAACGTGGAGAAATCCCGTCTCTACTAAAAATACAAAATTAGCCAGGCGTGGTGGCGCATGCCTGTAATCCCAGCTATTTGGGAGGCTGAGGCAGGAGAATTGCTTGAACCCCGGAGGTGGAGGTTGCAGTGAGCCGAGATCGTGCCATTGCACTCCAGCCTGGGCAGCAAGAGCAAAACTATGTCTCAAAGAAAAAAAAAGATTTTTTTAAACAAAAAAACTATTAATCCTTTTTTTTTTTTTTTTTTTTTTTGGATGTAGAGAGAAAAATTTAAGGCATCTTGTTCCTAATTTTCCACTTGGAATTTGATTACATTGCAGCTATAAATTAATTTGGGGAAAAGTAGGAAAAAATAAAAAAATCCAGATCTAACCAAGGTAACTGTTATTTAAATGTATCTTGTGCAGTTTTTAGATGATAATTATTATTAGTTCCTTTGGATGTTTTACCTACAGATTAATTGAGAGGGAAGAAAATAAATATTGAGTACTTAAAGGGCAAGTCATTTCTCTGGGAACTTACAGACATTTCTTTATTTTATGCTAATAAAGAGACAGGTTTTATTATAATTATTAATGCATTTTTCAGATAGGGAAGCTTGAAGATCAGAGTGGGTAAGTACTTTCACAAGGTCACAAAGTGTTGGAGGGAGCCTATACCTGTCTGATGTTAAGGCCTATGCTTTTTTCCTACTACATAGGGGCTGAAATACAGACACAAGCACAGGTGAAATACCATCTTTGTCATCAACTTTCTTGTTGATCTCTATAGTTCTTATCCAATATTGAGAAACGTTGACTATAATATTTTTATTGTAATTGGTGTGGATTATTGCAGCTCAGGAAAATGTCTTTTAAAAGTTGTGACTAGATAGCTTTTAATAAAATATTTCACAAAAAGTGTCAGATACTATCAGAAGACTTTGGGGTACTTCCTTAAACCTTTAAATAAAACAAAAATAAAAACAAAACTTTGGTAAGAGATTGAAAATGGTTACCTTTTATTGAGCATTCACTATATATGTCAGGCATTATGTTAAGCAACTTAAATGTGTTATTTAAAGTTTCACAGCTAAGCCAGGCACAGCAGCTCACACCTGTAATCCTAGCACTTTGGGAGGCCGAGGCAGGTGGATTGTCTAAGCTCAGGAGTTTGAGACCAGCCTGGGCATTGTGAAACCCCGTCTCTACTAAAATACAAAAAATTAGCAGAATGTGGTGGCACACACCTGCAGTCTCAGCTACTTGGGAGGCTGAGGCACAAGAATTGCTTGAATATGGGAGGCAGAGGTTGCAGTAAACCAAGATTGTGCCACTGCACCTCAGCCTGGGTGACACAGTGAGACTCTGTCTCCAAAAGTTTCACAACTGGGCAAGGTGGCTCAGGCCTGTAATCCCAGCACTTTGGGAGGCTGAAGTGGGAGGATCTCTTGAGTTCAGGAGTTCAAGACCAGCCTGGGTAATACACCAAGACCACTCTTGATTAAAAAAAAAAAAATTTTTTTCTTTTTTTTTAAGTTTCACAACAACCTTGTGAGAAATACATGCTTATTTTCCTCATTTTACAGATGTGGAAAGTGAAACCTGGGATGGCTAAGTGACTTAGCCAACGTTACACAGCTATTAAGTGGTAGAAAAATAGGGACAAAACAGGCTGTTTGACTCCAGAGCCACACCTCTAAGCCTCTAGGCTACAATGCTATAAAAATCTACCAAATGAAAATCATGGGAGATAGAGAAAAAAGAAACTTTATTTTAGTATATACGCTGCCAAAGAGAGCATGAGAAAAGGAACCATAACAGAAAATTTGGCATTGCCCCAGATCAGTGACCAGGGTCACCATTTATTGCAATTAAATTAGATGAGTTAACTACATTGTGTGATTTGGGGGTATAAGAGGGGCCAATGTAAAAAGCTCAAAGGTGGCCAGGTGCAGTGGCTCACACCTGTAATCTCAGCACTTTGGGAGGCTGAGGCAGGCGGATCATTTGAGGTCAGGAGCTCGAAACTAGCCTGACCAACATGGTGAAACCCCATTTCTACTAAAAATACAAAAAAAATAGCTGGGCGTGGTTGTGCATGCCTGTAGTCACAGCTAATCAGGAGGCTGAGGCAGGACAATCGCTTGAAACCCGGAGGCAGAGGTTGCAGTGAGCCGAGATCGGTGCCACTGCACTCCAGCCTGGGCAACAGAAAGAGACTCCGTCTAAAAAAAAATAAAAAAGCTCAAAGGTATCTTCAAGTCAGTCACTTTCTATCCCTTTTCTCATTATATTTTCTTTATAGCTTTTACTTATCAATTATTTATTATTGATAAGTGAAATTGTTTTATTACTAATAAAATATTTTATTAGTAAAATTATTTTATTGCTAATCATTTGCCTCACCTCACTAGACCATAACTTCAATAAAATCAAGAACCTTGTCTTTCTTACTAAATGCTGTATTTCTACAGTCCAAAGTTGTGCCTGACATAAATATTTGTTGAATGAATGCATAAATGTCTGCCCTTCCCTGGACTTTAATTCAAAAGACTATATAAAAAAGGCACGCATTATTAGAAATATTTTATTGTTTTAGTTTCTTAGATTGGCTAGGATACACTGAAAAAAGAAGAGGAAGCTGGAGAAAAGGGGGAAAGAGCATATCCACTGGTAATGATAACACCTAAGTTATAGGGGTTGGCAGGGAGTGGCGGTGAAACCTAAAAAATCAAGAGCCTTCATGGGTGAAGTGCCAAAAATTGGTGAGGTTCTCTGGTGTAGGATAAAAACCATCACAAAAGCTAACTTCTCAATTTTGTCTCAGAAATTCTGCTACCATAAAGATTTATGGAAAGTGAAAGTTATTTAGTTCATTTTAATATGCTAATTACCTTGCATTGTGCAAAGCTTTGATTAAAATGCAACATTCCTGAAGTTCTCATTGAAATTAACGTGTCAAATTTATGTTCAAACTGAGCACTGATCTACATTGTTTATGTATAGTGGGTTCTTCCTGAAGATCCATTATTGATGCTATTACGCTCCTTGTTAGCATTACATCAGTGTTGAGAAGGGTGTATAGGAACAGGCTCTGAGAACAACAAAGGAATTGTATATGAAAAACTAAAATGAATGAATAAACAGAGGCATCTGCAGTGTAGAGTGGGAAAGGCAATTAATTTCAATGAGGTTCTGGAGCGCCAAGGAAAACATCGTATCCCCTCAAATGGAAGATACAGCTGTTAAATGTGTGGATTACAACAGGGGATTCTAGGCAGTTTGAAGTTTCAAGAAATGTAAGATTTAGAGAACAGGTTCTCAAACTTTGTAGTCTTAGGATTCCTTTACACTCCTTTAAAAGTTGAGGACCCCAAAGAACTTTTATGTGCATTATTGATACTGATACTTATGTCAGAAATTAAAAGTGAGAAATTTTAAGAGTATTTCATTTAAAAACAATAAAGCAATCAAATATTAACAAAAATAATTTTTTATATGAAAAATAGGCCCGGTGAGGTGGCTCACACCTGTAATCTCAGCACTTTGGGAGGCTGAGCTGGGCGGATCACGAGGTCAGGAGATCGAGACCATCGTGGCTAACACGGTGAAACCCTGTTTCTACTAAAAATACGAAAAATTAGCCAGGCGTGGTGGCGGGTGCCTGTAGTCCCAGCTACTTGGGAGGCTGAGGCAGGAGAATGGCTTGAACCCAGGAGGCGGAGCTTGCAGCGAGCCGTGATCGTGCTACTGCACTCCAGCCTGGGCGACAGAGCGAGACTCCCTCTCAAAAAAAAAAAAAAAAAAAAAAAAAAAGAAAAAAGAAAAATAACTACTCCCTCTTGCCCCCAAATCGAGTTTTTGCAAATCTCTTTAACGTCTGGTTTAACCGCAGATGACTGGATTCTCCTATCTGCTTCTATTTTCAGTCTGTTTCCTTATCACATGTCACATAGCCTCCGGAAAACCCCACTGTACACTTGTGAGAGAATGAGAATGCAAAAGACAGTCTTGACATTAATATGGAAATAGTTTTGACCTTCCTTTTGAAAGGGTCTGGGGACCCTCAGACCATATTCTGAGAACAACTTTTTGAGTTAATGTTAGTCAATTCATCATCACTTGAAAATTAGTTATGAGGTTTTACAAGCCTGAGGATTTAATGCGATTTACTTTTTCAGAAAGATGAAACAACAGACATACTGAATGTCCTCATTACAACGCATCCAGAGAATGCACAAATATGCCATTTTCATCCGTCAAAAGAACTGAAGGGACTGTACATCAGGTACAAGTATGTGGCGGGGGGATGGGGAGCTAAGGATGACGAGCACCCCCTAAAGGCACGGAGACCCGCTGGCATAGTTCGAAGCAAAACAGGCAGAAGAGGCCGCCGAAGTGGTCTAGAGGAAAAAACTGTTTTTCTTAGACGGGGAGGGAAAATAGTTACCGGGGGCCGGCGAGTTGCAGGAATTAGGCCCTGACAGGGAGCGCCCGCCGTCTAGGCTGCGGCGAGAGAGGGACCAGGCGACTAGCGCCCGCCCTCAGCATTCCCAGCACAACGCCGAAGGGGGCGGAGCGGGCCGGGCGCCGGGCACGCGGGCCAGGCCTTCCCCACAACTGGTGGGGTTGAGATTTCCTTTCCGGCTCAGCGGGGAGAAAAGAGATGGTGGGGTGCTTAACAGAGAAGGTTAGACACCGGCGGGAACCAGAGGAGCCCAAGCGCGGCGCTGGGCCTCGGGGCTGCAGGAGTCCTAGGGTCTGCAGGAGTCCTCGGCTGCGGTATGGAGGTCGCCGGGGAAGAAGGACGGTTCAGTTGCTAGGCAACCCGGCCTGGACCCGCCTCTCGCTCGCGTTGCTGGGAGACTACAAGGCCGGGGGGAGGGCGGCGAGAGGGCCCTACGTGCTGACGCTAATTGTATATGAGCGCGAGCGGCGGGCTCTTGGGTCTTTTTTAGCGCCATCTGCTCGCGGCGCCGCCTCCTGCTCCTCCCGCCGCCGCTGCCGCCCTGAGTCACTGCCTGCGCAGCTCCGGCCGCCTGGCTCCCCATACTAGCCGCCGGTAACGGATGGGGGCCTGGAAGGGAAGGGGGAACGTAGTTTTCGCTGGGCGGCCTGCGCAGATGGGAGGGCCGGAGGGATAGAGGGACTGGGAGCGGGGAGTCGGGGCCGCTGGCCGCCCAGGGCCTCCGGGGTCGTCCTGTGAGGTCGGACAGGACCGCGGAGTCTGGACCCCGGAGTCTGAGAGGGGCCCTAGGGCCGACCAGCGCTTTTATCTGGGACGGCTGAGGCGACTTAGGGGTTGGCGCGGCCTGGCGGCGTGAGGTTCTCTGAGCTCCACCGTCTTCTCCGCGTGTACCGGAGCGAGGCCGCGGTGACGCCCGGGTGCCCTGAGAGTCGACTGCGCCGCGGGGACCGGGAGGCCCCCGGCGTACGGGCCGGGCCAAGTGCAGAGCCGGCCGCCTTTTCGACACCCCCCTGCTTTTCCCCCAAAAATAATACCAGGAGGGAGGCCGCTGGGAGATGAAAGAACGGCGGAGGCTGCGAATTCCGACGGGAGGGAGGGGCTGTGGAGGGACGAGGCCCCGAGGCGGGGAGGGGGCGGGGGAGACTGCGACGCTCCCTGGCTCTCCGCCCATTGGGGGCGGCCGCGCGGGGAGGGGAAACCCCCCGGCGGCTTCCCTCCACACGTGGTAATGGGCTTCGTGGCCACCAGCTGGGCCTGGTTGGAGACCCTTGCCCTCGGGCTATCCTTACTTTGAAAGTTGTAGAGACGGTGGAACGTGAAAAGGGAGAGTAAGCTAGTAAGCCCTGTCCCTGGGTTTCAAACTCTTCCCTGCTTCTCTTTGGTCTTAATCTTTTTATTGGTACCGGAGATTGTGGATGTTAGCTGATGAGGAAGGGCCTCCACTGCTAGTATTTTAAAAAGTTAACGCGTATATAGCGCTTATGTTAACTGTTATTAGCAAAAGGTTGTTGTTGTGTTTCCCAGGTACAGTTAGATGGGTGTCTTGATCAGGATTTTTTATTTGGGGAGTATTGACCCTAATCGATCTAAACCCCTAAACCAAGCTTGTCCAACCCGCGGCCCAGGACGGCTTTAAATGTGGCCCAACACAAATTCATAAGCTTTATTATTATTATTTTGAAAAAGCTCATCAACTAGTTAATGTATTTTACGTGTGGCCCAAGACAGCTCTAATGTGGCACAGGGAAGCCAAAAGATCGGACCACCCCTGCAAACGGTTCTTAGATGAAAATAAAAAGTTTGGCCCTTTGTGACTTTAATTGTTCTTGGCTTTCTTATAAATTAGTTCGTTTATTTAAATCACTAGAATAAGATACTTAAACTGTTTCCTTTTTAAGATAGGAGGTAGGATGGAATGAGGTGTTAGTATAAACTTAGCCAAGTTTGTAGCCTGCAACCTTGTCAATGAACCCCACTCCCCTAAAGATCTCGGGGATGGCGGTGTAGGGAGGCTGGGACTGAGGTCCTATCTTGGAAGGCTAGACTTTGAGAGTACAAAAAGGATGAACCAGGCACAGGATGTCCTCAAGGAGCCCCTATTTTAGACGGTCACTGATCAGTTCTGAAACAACTACATTTTAAAAATATCACTGCTAACATTTTAAGGTGTCTCACTGCTGCAATTAAAAATTCACACTGCTTCCCTGGTTTCAGAAGAGCTGTAAAATGAAATTTGGCCTTTTGAAAATAGGTGGATTCAAAACATCTTTGGAAACGGGTATCTGGGTCCTCTTTTTTTGGTCAGCTTAAATTAATACTCACTTTGGAGTTAATGGAATTAACTCACTTAAATTAATATTTACTTTGGAAGTAATACACATGACCTGTGATTGAATAAGGGAAAAACCTTTTACGTATGGGTTACCATTTAAAAATCAAAGGGAAATAAATGACATTTACAGTTATTTTCAAGGCACTCTTGTGTTTCAAGCTTGTTCGAATTGCCCAAGTTTAAATAAATGGCCTAAATCTATAGTTTAGTTCTAAGAATACTATCCTTTGGAGAATATGTGGAACTAAACCCTAGTAGGTGGACTTGGACATCTTCTATCATAAAACCTGACTTTCATAGATTCTCCTTCCAAGTCAACATTATATTAATAAATAGAAATTTAAAAGTTTTCAGTACACCGATTTGAATATTTTTCTAAATTTTATCTGCTAGAAAGTACCTATTTTCATATTAGGCCCATTGATTTGCAGAATTATAAAGCTAATACCGAATATGGTAAATTACTGCACTTGGCCTTTAATGAGATTTTTGAAAAGAATACCTGTACCATGACGAGTGTAATCCAAAGTGCCATCTCTTTTTATTCAGCTTGCTCCTGTTGGCTTCTGGTAACTGAGTTGATTCTAAGTTGCTGAAAATATGTTAAAAACTAAGGGTCTTTTTGTAGAAGGGGCTACAGAAGCAGTATCTGTTGGACTTAAAAGGTCTGAAGATGTCAAAATACAGTATTTTATTTGTTTACTTCTTGGTTGTAAATTTGAAACGAAGGATTAGAGTGAAACCTCATCAATATCAAAATATTAATGATCAGTGTATTCAGATCTTCAAGTTTAATCAAACCTGTAATTACTTGTGTTCTCAGTTTATTCTTTGGGTAACTATCTGGCACCTGTATGGACATGTATCTCATGAGCAAAAGAGGCAAATTGGTTGCTTAGATGTGAAATGTCAAATTGTGATGAGAGCTGTGAAGGAAGAAAAAGGTAAAGGGGGCATAGGGTAATACAACGTTTGCACGAAGGAACCTGTTATAATTGATGATTTTAAATTCCGTTTCAAACTGGTTTCATCTAAATAAGTTTTTGGGCAGTATAGGGGTTAGAAGGAGACTTGTTACTTTGCACCTATCCATATGTAAGTTGTTTAGCTCAATGACTGCAGAACATTAGAGTACATTACTGGGCTTGCCATAGAAATTGGCTTCTATACCTTTGGTTACCAACTCTGCCTTTTACTTCCTGCATATTTGTATACATTTTTACTTATTCAGAAGTTTTGTACATTTTGATTTTTATTGGGAAACAGGGTTATATATATTTTTTCCTTGTGGAGACAGGCTTTTGCTGTGTTGCCCTGACTGGTCTTAAATGCCTCAAGTCAAGTGATCTTGTCTTGGCTTCCCAAAGTGCTGAGTTTACAGGTGTGAGCCACCACACCTGTCTAGAGTTATAATTTTGGTCTTGGAATTACTTCCTGAAAAGGGTACAGAAGGGCATAACAGGGGTAAAAATAATGTGGTAGGCAACACTTACTGATTGATTATTCAGGCATTGTTTTAAATTCTGTGTGTATTATTAGCTCATTTAATGCACTTAGAGATAGGTAGCATCAACATTTTAACAAGGAAATAGGTATGGAGTGGTTAAATAACCCGTCCATGGTTATGTACGTGAGCAGTGATAACTTATGATGAGATAATTTTTGTCCTGGTTTTGAAAGAATATTGACTTACACTGTTCTACTGTAAATCAGCATGAATAAAGAATTTATTTCTTGAAGTTATAGAGGCTGAGAAATCCAAGATCGAGGGGCCCCATGTGGTGAGCACCTTACTTGTGGGGACTCTGAAGGTTCCCAAGGCAGTGCAGGGTATCACATGGGGAGGGGGCTGAGTGTGCTAACTGGGTAGCTCGGATCTCCAGTTCCCCTGATGGGAAACTGTGTAATTTATAAAGAAATACGTTAATCCACTAATGGATTAATTCATTTGTGAGGGTGGAACCCTCATGATCCAATCACTTCTTAAAGACCCCACCTCTCAGTGCTGCCACATAGGGGATTAAATTTCAATATGAGTTTTAGAGGGGACAGATACTCAAACCATAGCAGCATGGAATTCAAAAGCACTCCACCGTGTATCTCGCTGTGCTCTAGGGAAAAGCTGTATAGCAGTTATGGTCATTAAGTCTTCTAACATAGAATTTGTTTACATATACAGTCATGCATGGTTAATAATGGGGATATGTTCTGGAGAAATGCATCATTAGGCCGTTTCATCCTTTTATGAATGTCATAGAATGTATTTACACAAACCTAGATGGTACAGCCTACTACACACCTAGGCTATATGGTATAGCCTGTTTGTTGTTCCTAGGCTACAAACCTGTGTAGCATGTTGCTGTGTTGAATACCATAGACAGTTTTAACTTTTTAAAAAATAAGTTAGAGTGTACTCTAACCACCAAAAGCATAGTAAATACATAAACCAATAAGTCATTTATTGCCCTTATCAAGTATTATGTACTGTACATAATTGTAAGTGCCATACTTTTATATGAATCAGCTCCATTATAATCTTATGGGACCACCGTTGTATATGCAGTCCTGGGTTGACTAAAATGTTATGTGACTGCAGTTGGGTAATGGTTTCTTAGCCTTATGTCAGCTCTATGTATCTAGTTCAGTCAGTTGCCTCCCCGCTTCGGTGGAAGATTTTCTTTGTTTTTGGTTCAGTTTAGGAAGGAAGATTTGCTTTCGGGAGGCCAGGCGTGGTGGCTCACACCTGTAATCACAGCACTTTGGGAGGCCAAGGCGGGAGCACAGGATTTCCAGACCAGTCTAGGCAACATAGTGAGACACTCTGTCTTTACAAAAAAAATTTTTAAACATTAGCTGAGTGTGGTGGTGCATGCATACCTGTAGTCCCAGCTACTCAGGAGGCTGAGGTGAGAGAGTGAGAGGATCACTTGAGCCTGTGAGGTCAAGGCTGCAGTGAGCTGTATCACGCCTAGGCAACAGAGCAAGGCCTTGTCTCCAAAAAAAAGAAAAAAAGAAAAAATGCCTTCAAGCATGTTTTTAGGGTCAGTTATGTCTTTTGAGATCTTATATACACCATATATGTATGAACCTTTTATTATAAAGTGACCTTTTTATCTCTTAATGTTTTTCCTTGAAGTCTATTTTTTCCTGACAATACATGCTACCTTGGTTAGTGTTTTATTCTGAAACTGTCTTTTACTTTTTTTTTTTAAGGAGATATGTTGAAGTGCAGCAGCATGATCATAGCTCACTGTAACCTCAA